CCGGCCGTTGCGGGCCGCGCGGCGGCCGTTGGGCCGGCGCGAACACGCACCTCTTTACCTGATTGCTCTTTCCCCAGGCAACCAGTAAAAACGGTGCCTTCAGCTCTCTCTCATTCCAGCCGTGAGAGGCTGGTAATAGCTTGCTTCGCCATGGTAAAGGTCAGAGCTTGCCTGTAATTGCCATACCCCTCTGCAGCTGAGCACTACACTTTCTGGCTGCTCCGGCGGTCGCACGCTCCTCCTGCTTTTTCAGCAGCCGGCGAGGCCTGAAAAACAAACTGCTTGATGGATTGCGTCCTTAATTCAGCGCTTTAGGGTTACACAAATATCTGCTGGCTAATGCCTACTCCTCCTTATAAAACCTCTCCGGCAACGCAGGGGGAAACGCAGCCGGAACGGGGGTTAAATCCCTTGAGAGCTTCCTCCAGCTGCCTGGCCAGGCAGGACTCGCGCCCTTTTGCACAGCGCTTCGGATTCGTCCCGAGGGACCTGGGACGCGCAGGCACCTCCAGGCCGCGCGAGCAGAGCCCTGGAGGTCGCGCTCTCCCGCCCAGCCCTAAAGGGCTGCGCTAAGCGAGGGCAGAGAAGTCTCAAGGGACCGCTCCAAGCGGCAAGGGGCCGGCCCCAAGATCATCTGCTCACCCAGAAGTATACTCGCTTCCCCCTGCCAGAGTGCAGCAGGGCAGCAGCATCTGAGACCTCCTGCATGGGCCAGAAATCCCTTGCAGCCAGCTGGCTGTTCTCCAGTCTTTTGGCACAGCTACAACAGCCTAGAGATATTAAAACGCATCAGGGAAACTCACTTCCTATTAGGAGCTCAACTTCAGCCCTTCTCTAAGGCCATGCCAACAAGGCAGTACCCTAAAACGTACCTTCTTCCAAAGAACAGGCTTTCTCAGCAGCGCTGTGCTTCTACGCACCAGTGTCGCTCCTCTCCATGCTGCAGCTGGTCAGATCCTGCTGCGCCCAAAGTGATCCCCTGGTGTCCCTCCCTAGCGATGCCCTGCAGCAAGCAGACCCGCTGCAACAGGCCCCCGACAAAATACAGCCAGCAAAATAGCTGGTGTGACCTCCTGACTTCCTTCCCCATCACAGACAGCCCTGTAGGACGGGCAAGCAGTCAATGGTAACAAGAGCACGGAGTAGATGTTCATGTAGTTCACGTAAAGTCGGAAATGCCTTTTCGTGCTTTGCTTCTGTTTCAGCGTTAGCTAGAAAACAAGATGAGGGAGAGAGGTTAATTATGGTGTCTTGGACTTTATCTAGCCGAGAAGGAGTTCACAGAAGTGCACTTCACAAATGATTAAGCTTCGCTTTTCAGAGAGGAGGGCGCGGGTTTGCTATAAGGGGTCACCTTCCAGGCACGTCAATGTTTTGTGGATCGCTACAATCCTCACATGAGATTTTTTTTTTTTCTAAAGCCACCTTTCTAAAATATTATAATAGCTGTAACTTCAGCTTAATGGAAAGTTTTCTCTGGAAACACAGTATCTCCATATCCCCAAACATTCTCACTCCTGCTCTGACCTGCCACCTTATCCCATAACTGACTACGCGCTGCAGGGACGTAGCTTCTTTTCTTCAATATTACAAGTCAGTCTTGAAAATGTGATCCCATCCTGCAAAATCCACCTTGGATTCTGCACTTGCCTCTGCTCCCTAGTTCAAGGATATTTGAATTCGGAGCCTCACTTGGCCCCTTCCAAAAGAAGAACTGGGCTGTGAAATGCATCCCAGCTGCCCCTGCGTGCAGCCCTCCTCTCTCATTGCAAGGCTTGGGAGCCTTAGGTTATAGATTCAGCCCAGCTCTAGACCTGATATACCTTCTTTCTACAGCATAACGACCCAAAGAGCGTGATGTGCAATCTGTTACGAACTCAGAAGTTCAGCGCACCTCAATGGAACCAAGATGTATTTTTGGTGCAATATTTGGTGCAATATGGTTCTACAATGGCAACGGGCAGCAACCCACTGATTTGCGCTCTTTGTCTACAGTTAACTCAGCTCTGCTTGCTCAAAATAACACTGGTTTCTGAACTAGAAGAGTACTTCTGACCTACTCAAAGGGGTAATAAGGTAGAAAAAATAGTTTGTGCTGTAGTGAGAAATACCCTCCCACACAACCCCCAGACCTTCAGAGGTCATGTAAACTGGAGAGCTTTACCCTGGCTTGCAGACGATTGAAGCTTTGGTGCACTCTGAATTTTTGTAGGGTTGCAGAAAGTTGGTTATGGGCATCTCACAGCTGGATGGGATTTCAGTTTGTTGTTTGTTTGTTGCAAATCTATTGTTTAAACAAAACAGCTCCAGCAATTTTTAATTTAGAAGATGCTGGGGTCCTGCATATGACCTTCTGGGGCATTTCGAAAATTAGGCATTTGGCTGTGTCACCTTCTCAAGAACGGAGTAGATTTATGGTTATATTACCTCTGGTACTTTAGGTACGTTGACAGAAAAACGG